TTTTGTTAAGATTGAAATTGGATGTTTAATACCTAGGGGGAGGTCAGGTCATAGGTCAATATATTACAATCAGTATTTGTTACCGAGAGCGACGAACCCTCCAGAGATAAAGTTCCAAAACCAGAGTATCTTTCACACCTAATTATCAAACCTTACCTTCCCTACCTTCTATTTATTCCCTAGACAAGGGGGCAAGCCCCCCCCTTGCTCTAATCCCCTATATTTACATGTGTCAACTTGTAGAGCACACTAAATTAATAATTGGCTGTGTGAGGATGTGAGCAGGGATATACAGCTGATATTTTTGTCATTTTTGTATATATAGGTGTGAACTGTCTGTCCGAGAAATGCTTATGCCATGGTTTGATCTGTTTGGCTGGTAAGTGAGAGCATGCACATCAGGCTCACTTTGATTGGTTGTAATACGGAAGCAGGAGCAACCAGATCAGTTTGAATCCTGGAATCATGGAGATAACAGCGCTATTGACTATGTTGTTCAATATCAACGTATAAATGTCCAAAGTAACTAAATTACATATAATTATCTGAAAACAAGAGAAAGGCCGGTAATTGTTGAAGACCGCGGCGCACCCTCACAGAGACTAAGTCGAAAAGAATGATGTTTTTCTGCATGAAATCCTATGATTTCATCGATTTTCGGCGTTGTTTCTTATGCGAATGAATCGTTCAGGGGATCGAGTACCATTTCTCCATTGACGATCTTGATTTGATAGTCCCGTTAGTCAGGAGGGATGAAAGTATAGAGGGAATTTAATGGGAAGTATATTGAATCAAATAAAAGTCTTTATAATGTAAAGATAATGTAACGAGATTAAAAATGTAGAAAAATACTAATTGAATCAATGAAAATATGCGACTTAATGATATATAGAATCTCACTATATTGGGTACTGGACCATGGGTAGAGTCAGACATGAAATTATTTACACTGACACATGGTCGTACAACATGAATATTATAACCTTTTTTTCTTCGTTGAGCTCCCGCTCAGTTTAGCGTATTATCTGTTCTCTAGATTCCACGTTATCATTACTCCGGTTAGTCACCTTTGTGCTTCGGTGGACGCTGAGAGTCAAACAAAGCGCCTCCACAGGCGGCCCCCCACACACACACAAAAGACCTAGAGCCAGGGCTAAGGAGGCGGTGACCGGAGCGAGGCTGGCGCGCGAGAGGGTATAGGCTCGGCACGTTCACGCAGATGTGTTGAGAGCTAATCCCTGAGGATTTTGGGGTATGGGAGATTAGGTTGGGACTGTAACAATAATATGTAAGTGGGGACTGCGATGCGGGCGTGGAGACGAGACAGTAGGTGGAGGTATATGGAAAAATCGGGCAAGTCGCGAAGTCGTGTAAGAGCGCATATGGGAGTGCATGGGCGGACGGTAATCGCCGGACGAGACACCGATCAAGTTAGGTGAGAAAATTTAGACGGACGAGATAGCGGAGAGAAGTAAAAGGGCTCTAAAAAATTTGGGGTTGACGAGTGGGAACGACGACACAGGGGAACGAAGATAAAAGGGGGCGGACGTGAGGAAGAAGAATTATGACTAGAGAAATAGTGAGGCTAAGGAGAACGAGGGATTGCGACACTAGACATTCCAACACGGCGCCAACCGTGAAACACAGTATAGAGGGCCCAAGTGAACCAAGCCTGACATGAGTAGTCAATATAAATTAGTCCCTTGAAAGTGAGCGGTGAAGCCATGGTGTGCGTGTATTATCTAGATGTCTCGCATAAGGGAGGGGGCTGGAGTGGGGGGGGGCGCACACACCCAACAACGGCCCCAGGAACAAGTTGCGGTAGGCGAATCCAGGAGGCAAGGAGACGATAGGAGAGCTTGAACAGTCACGCCGATAAAGCGTATAGGGGAGGAGAGAAGGGCAGAAATGAGGATAAGCCCGAAGTACTTTTATCCGGACGTGAAACTTTCGATTTCTTTGTACTGTTTGGTATTGCCTTATGATTTAATGCACCTTTTCGTGTCCTTTGTATGGAGCCCTCTCGTATGGGGTGGCTCAAGATTAAAAGCTAGTGGATTGGATTACTGAAGTCGAATTATTCTTCGCGAGAATGCAACATGGAGTAAACGGGGTCGTTAAACAAGAAAACCAGAAATAAAGAGCTATGACACTGTGACGGAAGGCATTTCATCACCGACTTTCAAATCTCGAAAATGAGGGACGAGGTTGATGAAGAGCTTGTCACAGAAGAGCCACCTGTGACGTGGGTGGCATAGAAAGTGGTGAAACAAGCATGGGAAGTTGCGCAGAATTCCGATTGAGAGGTATAAAGAGAGATAAAAGTATATAGAAAATAAGTGCAAATGAGAGGTAATAAATACAATCTAAAGAACTTTTAAAAGTATAAAGATGGTGTACTCGAGCAGACACAGATAATTTAGCTAAGTAGATATTCGTTTGACAAGCGCGTAATGATACACGGACTTGTTCGCGAACGCAAAAATGCGTTGTATTGCTGCGCGATTGTGAAAAGGATATTTTGCTAATCATCAGTGTCTGCCGTTCCATATTTATGCTTTCACAGACCTTTATTAATGTTTTTATACCTCATTTACGTGTTTTAAGATTGATTATACAGGTTTTAGCGGGAATCGGTCTGAAGGATCTTCTGAGCATGCATATTTTCGCGTTTCTCACCGCCACTTTTGACAGGTGGATTCGCGGGTAGTCGGTGACAGAGAGCCGGTAAGAAATGTTTTGTTTTCAGTGTTGCATCGATTCTAGGTTATTCCTAAGACTATGCAGTGGCAACGAAGAAGAAAAAGACCTCAATAACTATTGCAGTTCCATTTCTAAAGGCATAGAGTACCCCAAATCCCGAAAAAAGCGATAAAAACGAAGCGATCTATGACCGACCGAAAGAAGCAAAGGAAAATTGACAGTTCTGTCTTTCAATATATAAAGGTATTTGGTTTATTGTTTATAGTGTGGATGTAGCTCTATCTTGCCGTACATACTGAGGTGAAGAGAATGTTTCTTGGGGGGTGTTGGGGGGCTTGCCCCCCATCAACCCTCCCCTCGGGCAGTGCCCGAAGGGCACACCTAGTCAAGGCACCATAAATTGCTAGATTAGGTTGGGTTATGGGTTAGGACGTTTTTTTGACTTTCAAAGATGGCGGGCATGTCCGTAGAGTTTCATTCACCGGTTTTTAGCCATTTATGGGCTAGTTTTTTGTGTTTTTGTTTGCTATTCTTATTTAAGACTGTTTTACCCCATAATTTCCCTGATATACTTCATGCCCTCCCCTACTAACGGGACTAACAAATTAAGATTGTCGATGGAAGTGGTACTCAGATCTCATCAACGAAGCATTTGCACAACATCAAGAATCGTTGAAATCAGTAGATTTCATGCAGATGAATATCAAAATTAGTTCGAAATTAAGCCCCTACCCTGTTATGCATATTGACCCAAAAAATGATTAAACAATATAAAACGCACACCGTCAGTGTGGAGTGTAGAGATGTGGGGAGGAGAAACTGATGGAATCAGTTTTATTCTCTGCCAGGACACTATTTGGAATATGGCTTGGGCAAAGTACCCGGCAAAGTGAAAATGCATCCAACTTTTCTATTATTATTTTGGGGGGTTTTGTTGCACCTAAATTAATATATATCAAATTGGCAGTCGCCATTGCATTTGGGGCATTTAAGGGCCCCCAATATGAGGCTATGCAGCCAGCATACTTCTCCCAAAAGTGACCATACCTACCATAAAAATTAATTTTTGATAACACTATTTATCCATTACGATAAAATCTACACTATTTTTTTCCATTGTCTTTGAAATATAAATTTAAATATGAAATAAAACATATAAACAAATATTTTAACTTACCCCATGTCGCACTGCGCACAAAAATTGCTGGGTTCATCGATGTCAAGAGCTTACCAGAAAGTGTTCAAGTAATGAACATTGTGTATCGTTCCGACATGGGAGGCAGTTAATGCAAAGAGGCAGTAATGTTGTTACGTTGTTAACAGTGAATCAAGGTTATGAAAACAAAATTATAAATCATAAAATATCTGCATTACATAGAAGAATACTTATAATGTATAAGCATAAAAGAAATTGAGGAAATGTTAGTAGAAATACAATTAGATAATGGATTTGAATACTAGTAATCCGGAATGTTCCCTCATTGGTTGAAAGTAGTGCACAGAAAACGTGACATTTATAGAAGACGCTCTTATAGAAAATAGATTAACAGAAAATGACACATGTAGAAAACAAGTTTATAGAAAATATAGACAAACAAGGACCTCTTGCTGCATAAAGTTGTTGTGGACTTTGTCTCTGCCATGATTTTAATGGTAAATATAAGGCCTCTGCAGCTTAAAATATGTTCTATCCCACTCTATTTCCTCCACTATAAGATGGCGGTGTCCATTTCCCTCTATCTGTGTGCATTGGTGTCTTTAACTTGTACCATATATGTATATATTTATATAGGTTATATTATGTATGTACTTATAAAGGATATATATATAGAGAGAGATTGAATATTGGTCAGTCTTTATGGCATGGGGGCACTAAATAAGGGCAAAATGAAGATGATATTCTTGTAGAGAACAAAAAGTTGCAATCATTGGTACAAGAAATGGTAATTTTAAAGTTTTATCTAGCCTCCAACTTTTGACATTATTTATTTTTGGAATGTAATATTCCTTTGTTGTTAATAGCTATTATGCTGCTGTTTTCCATCAAGTCTGACTGCTTGATAAGGGACGTAACTTGTACTTCTCACCGTCAAAGTTGGTTAAGAGTGTTAGCATAGATTACACACTATTTTTGAAAAGAATTTGCATGACTTGCACACAGTAAAATCAAGCAAAATCACTTTAGATTGTGTTTGTTGAAACTATTGGAATGCGAGCCATGTTTCACCTCTACAGTTAGTCTACAATTGTGTGGTTAAATCCAGGATTACTTTATACTTGAATGATGCACAAAACAAATGCATTAAATCATGATTGAACAAAAGCAACTTTCAAATATGAAAATGCATTTCCTAAGTGTCCTGATGATCCTGTCAAATTGTTAACAATTGTTGCTAAAACAATAATGGGATTTTATTGATTGTGTTTACAAATAGTAGTACAAAACAAAAAGATGAAACACGAAGTTGCACTATTGGCACTATTTCTGTGTTAAACCATTGTTACGGCTTATGCGGTCTGCGTAGATGTCGTCACTACAAAACAAATGTCTAGTGCACTTGAGAAACATTTAACATCTTTGTGATGATCAACATGAAGTAAGAAAACAATTAGATATTTAGACTTCCCATAATACACAAGATGGAATTTATTTTCTAATTTTTCACATGCACTGTGACAGCATACCACTGAATCATTCAATCATGGTCTATGCAATAGACAACAAACTTGTGCAAACCGTTAATAATTTTCAGTAATACTGTGTTTATGTTAACATTTGACGTATTTTAATATTAGACTTTTACAGTTTGCTTAGCATTTGAAGATATGCACTTCATGCACTAAATATTTGTAATTTTCTGGTTTTCATTATAACCTGATTAAATTGTACTGTTACTCTCTCTCCTTAAGGTAAAGCCATTGGCTTTCCATAGTATGAGTATAAATATATGGTTTTATTAAATGATATACATACCTATGATCTTTTACTGAACAGTTTGCATATCAGGTGTTAGTATGATGTATTTCAGTTTGTTCAATTTATTGGATGATGAGCGTGGCTAATGTTCATTCAGTGCCGAGCACTGTAAATATATAAGAAATTAAGATGTAATTTGATTGAGTGAGTATAATGTAAAATTTTTGTGTGTTAAAACTATTCATTTGAAAATGGATTTTGAGCTAATCATCATTCAATTCATGCTGTCAATGTATAAACTGATTTACCGTTTTGAATGTACATTAATTTTGAATATTTGTTGGAATTTCAGATGTCGGTCGGCAAGATAATTTTAAAATCAACAACACGGATGTCCCTGAACGACCGGTGAGGCCTTACAACCTAACCAGCGCATTTGGTTGACTAGTCTTTCAACTGGAAAAGTTGATGCCAACTTTGGCAGTTTCTTTATCCTCCCATTTCCCCTCTCAAAAGCCCACACTTCACAAATGTTTCAGCTTATCAAAGAAAGCTGAAAACTTTTGACAGTTCCCAAAACAAATGTTCTTATGGCCCATTTAATTGTTGTTTTCTGATAACTGTAGACCTCTTCACTGATAAAACTTGATCTATTATAGGGCCTGTTTTAATTGTAGCTTGAAGTAGTGCAATAGGCCCTTTTGGCTGCACTACTTATGAAAGAAAGTGTGCAGCATTACAACAAATACAAACCACAGGTGTCACATGCAGGAGGCCCTTGCAAAGCTTATAAAAGAAAGCTGAAGGTCCTCCTGTGCTCTTTCTTGTTTGTCTTGACAATGTTATTAATTGTTAAACCAGTGATAAAAGCCACAGCCACAGGGAGAATGACAGTTCTTTCTGTTCTTTGTATTGTCAACATCAAGCAGCGTGAAGGAGAACCATCAAAACTTGTAAGATACATAAGAAAATGGCAGATGAACAGTGAATGGCCCAGATAGTACAGTCTTCAGATAATCTGAAGACTGAGTACTTCACATTACAGTACTAGTAACTGAGGAAAAAGGGAGCAAAGACTCCATTAGCTTTTGATGCCCTAGACACATTGAGAAGTGGTCATGGGAGTGCAGAGCTCAGCAGAAGACTTGGGTATTCAGATACCTACTTCTGCTTTGGATGTGTGGACTGAGCCACAGGACATTCAATGAATGAGTTTCACTACCCAAATGCCAGACTCTATTAAGGGAGTTGGTCAGTATTTATCCATGGAGATGGATAACCACAAGATTCTCTGTGTTGGGCACAAAGCCTAGCCTCCTCTGAAGGACTAAGTGCATTGTCTGAATGTTTACAGATAATGTGGTAATTAGGAGCCTTGCGGTTTTATTTTAAGCCTTGCCATGAAGATTATATTCATAATGTTTCCAAAAAGCAGAAGGATAATCAAAGTAGATGGGACCTGTCCCAGATTATAGCCCAAAGAATGCTGAAAAGACGTGCCCAAACACTTGATAGAATGATAGCATCCGGAGATTGATAATAAGCAGAATGAAGAGGAACTTGAAGATGATCATTTTGAAGAGATGAGGATAAAAAGGTAATTTGCATCTATCTTGTGTAATATCATGAAGAGGAGTGGCAACTGGAGACTTCCTTGTACATGTGTATTTGATGAAAAGGTAAATGGTGGATTCTTTTTTGACTGACTATTTAAAAGGTTTTGGTATGTGAATCGACACCAGTAGGTACGTAAAGAATGTGAGTTAATGTTTGCACTTTGCACTAATCATTTTATTACACACAATAAATTTTGATAATTTTATACATTAATAGTTCATGAATCTTTTACTCAGGTTGTCTCATAAAATTACAAGGAGACA